TTATATAAGGAATGAAGAGGAATTATAGGCCGAAGCTTCTTCAGGTACTATCTATCTATCTATCTAATCAGCCTTAGACGCCCACTCTTGGGCATAGGCCTCCCCTGTTAATCTCCATTGGTCTCTATTTTGGGCGATCTACATCCAGTCCTTTCCTGCCTTTCTCTTAAGATCGTCAGTCCATCTCATCTGTGGTCTTCCTCTTTTTCTTTTCTTTTCCCATGGTCTCCAGTGTAGAATTCGCTTATTCCATCTTTCATCTTTTTGCCGGAGAGTGTGATCGTCGAAGTTCCATTTAAGTTTTACAACCTGTCTTGATACATCGTTCACCTTTGTTTTTTCTCTGATCCATGAGTTTCTTTTCCTGTCTTTAAGACCGATACCCAGCATCTGTCTTTCCATTGCTCTTTGTGTTTTGGATATCCTGTCGATGTTTTCCTTTGTGAAAGTCCATGTTTGTGAGCCATATGTGATAACTGGTAAAATGCACTGGTTGAATACTTTCATTCGCATATATTTAGGGAACTTTTTATTTTTTAGAATATATGATAGTTTACCAAATGAGGCCCATGCTAGTCTAGTTTTTCTTTTTATTTCTTCTGTTTGATTGTCCCTGTTCAGCTTTATTATCTGTTCTAGGTATATGTATTCTGCGACCTGCTCTAATTTATTCTGTTTGACTACTATTTCTAATTGGTCTTCTTGGTTTGTCATAGTCTTGGTTTTACTATAGTTCATCTCTAGACCTATCTCTGTCGCTTTTCTATCTAGTTTCTCAACCATCTTCTGTAACTCTTCCTTCTTATCTATTATCAGGACTATATCGTCTGCATATCTCAAGGTACTCTGCATATCTTCAGCCACTGCTAACTATAAACTGGATGAAGGGCTGACTGTAATTGAGGCATTGAAGAAGATCACGGTTAAAGATGTTTGCTATTGGATTGCATCTGCCTGGGACGACGTAAAAATGTCCACTACTCAGAAGTTTGGAAAAAATTATTTAAGATAGACAACAAAACACAAGACGTTCAAAATGAAACTGATGACTGTAAAGTTGATTCTATAGCCCACCTAGCCAATCAATTACTAGTAGAACAAACAATCGTAAACCAAGACATCATCGATTGGAGGAATCTAAATGAAGAAGTGGAACTGACAGATGATACAATTGTCAATCTAGGTCTAAACGTCACCCATGAAGAAGAAGAAGAAGATACAGATGGGATAACTCAAAAGATTTCTCATTCCGAAGGATTTAAGTCCCTTGAAGCAGCTCTCGTATATATTGAGCAACAAGAAGAATCAACACCAATAGACGTCCTTCATTTTCAACGTTGGCGCAACATCGCCGCCCCAAAAAGAGGAATGAAGTTGAAACAAAAATCAATCAAAGACTTTTTTAAAACATTTATAAATTAATTTTTTTTATCTTTTATACTACTTTTATATAAGTTTTTAGTTATTAAAATAAACACATTAATCGTTATTAACATAGGTACATATTTTTCTATCAGTATAACCAATCTCAGTGACAGAGTTCTTTCGGTATCCGAGGTAGTCACGGTCCCAATTACCTCAGATAATCGCAAGTCTACTGTACAAAAAGCTTAATTTTGTATCCAATTACACAAGTGTGATTTTATTTTATTACAGTTTCCAAAATTCGACTAACTGTATCTATGCATACTATGCAATTCTAATATTATTATTAATATGAAAGATGATACTACATTCCCAGACGTCATAAATTTTAATTGCCTTACACTTACACCAGCAATCAGCTGGATGTGCTGATTAGGGATTTTTGTTACTTGACCTTGTATACAGAAAACGTTCATTCATTTGGAGGTATTTTATTACTCATATTTCAGGCGACAAGTCTGAATTATTTATCTACCCAAAAATATTTATTTCAAACTGAAAAGAAATTTGCAATTATTTGAAAAACAGGTAAATAATGATCAAAAAGGGATTATGGTAATTGGATCGACTATTTATGTATAAAAACAGTATTTATAAGAAATCTAAAATATATAACATTAATTATTATTAATAATATATTTATAATAATTATTATAATATATAATAACAATTTTTTCATATCGAATGTCAACAGGGGAAGTGTTTTCCTCAGAAAATTTCAGATTTTCATCTCGTTTCTAATTATGACTCAAGTAAATATTAAAGTAAATATCAATAATCTTATTTTCTTCCGGAAATAATTAATCGACAAAATTTAATCGATCATTACATAATATTGTTTTGTCTATAAAAATTAAATTTGTTAAAAATTTAATAAAACGAATTGTTTTTATGTTTATATATTATGTAAAAACCAGTATAATCCCGCAGTAAACTTTACTGACCATAGTTTGACTTTCAACCACGATTATATAACGTCAGGGTGCCAAGGAAAAAAATGGTATACTTGTATATTTAAGACAGTGTTCCCTTATACAATCATGATTGAACATAGAAAGAAAGTCAAACGAAGCCACAATATTAACTACTGGGAGGGGCCGCCTTGCTAACAAAACCACGTGATTCGTTGCTATAGTTACTGCATAACTCATAGACAATTGGAATAATGACAAAACTAGTTTTCAATGCTTTGCAGATTTTTCTTAAATTCGGCAAACGCGCATCTATCGCTATTTAATACATCAGTGCTGCCTTCTACTAAATGACACGTGAACTTATTTTCTCATCTGTTAAGTGATAGCTGAACTAATTTCTCACTATCAAAATGCCAACTTATTACGGTAACATCAACAAAATCCCTAGTTTGCAGCTTTTAATTGTAATTTTATCTTTAGGTACAGTTAATTTAAAAATTACGGCAGTGTGGATAACAAACATTTGCTTAAAATAAAGGTTTTTGGATAGTTAATCATTTAACGTAGTTATTTTGCACCTAAGTTCAATAATTATTTCACAATACCAATTTTTAGGCACGTTACCACGTAAGTTATGACATGAATGCATTTAAGTACAGTTATGAAAAAAATACTGCTGTTTTTGAAAATGTTAACTAGATATCACTAAAATAGGTTTACAGTTTACGTACATAACCATAACTTGAAGATCTGTTTTGAAATAGTGACGATAACTGTACCTAAAAAGTATATAAATTTTAACATTGTGACATACCACCTTAACACACTTGACAAAAAGTCTTTACCATTCACTGAACAATATACGGATCTAAGCAAATTTTCGGTAATCTCCCGCGACAATATGATAGACACGTGCTTCCACTATCGTGTCTTTGAGGAGCAACTGCTGCAAAATGATATTTTAAACCTAATGTCACTTATAAATAAGACGCTCACAGTTGTGTTGTGTTGTATTTATCATTATCATCCATTCATTCATAGCAATTGCAAGTTTTAATTTAAACGATGAATAAACTCCTACATCTAGCGCAGGGGTGTCCAACTTGCAATGCCTCATGGGCCAAAACTAAAACCGTTGATGTTGTCGCGGGCCATATAACAATTTTGTTACAAGTAATAACAAAATAAAGTGAGGTATAAAAATAATTAAAACAAAAAAGAGTATTATTTCTTTTATTGCTCAACAACTACATTTTTTTATAAACGGAAAATTTATTGATAACCTTAAGATATATCCAACCTAAGATGTATCCAATTAGTGTGAGGACTGTGGTCGATCGGCTTCATCCACCAATGAAGAAATGTACACCTCCAGTTCAGTTTTAGACACTCTCATAAGATGACGTAAGAAAGAATCGGTAAGGTTGCTTCTGTTTTTATTTTTTATGTATTTCATGGAGGAAAAGGCACTTTCACATGTATATGTGCTTCCGAACATTGACGTCATTTTCAGTCCAAAATCTCGCAGGTTTGGGAATTTCTCCTTTGACAGTAATTTGAAAAATTCAGGTTCCTTTTCTTGTCTGGTGATTAGAAACATGTCTGCTTGAAGATCACATAACTCAAGCTGTAAGTTGGGCATTTAATCATCAATGGTTGCTCCAGGAGGGTTATTATAAAGTAGTACACTGCTTTTGAGACTTTCAATTTCTTCAAATCTTGTATTGAATTCATCAATAACTTGTTCAATTTGTGAAATGCAGGATAAAAACTCAATATTTTCCTCACCGTTGAATTCTTCTGCTATTTGCAGACACCAGGGGAAGTGTGTTAGGTTGTTCTTTTCGAAAGCACGATTAAACACATTCAGCTTATTCCGGAATCCGTTTATCATTCCGGTCAAATCTGAAACCGTCTGGTTTCTTCCTTGGAGACTCAAGTTTAACATGTTAAGATGATTAGTCAGATCTGTTATAAAAGCTAACTGTCTTAAGAATTCTGGATCCTTAAACTTCTCTTCCAGTTCGGTTGTGTCAGATGAAACGTATTTGTTGAGGAATGCAGGGATTTCCTTGCTTATGGCAAAAAATCGTTCCATGCACTTTCCTGCACTCAGCCACCTTACATGGTTGTACATTAGCAAGTCTCCATACTCAGCCTCTGTTTCCACCAAAAACTGCTTAAGTTGCCTGTGTAAAAGAGATCGATTTCCACCTCTAATCGTATTTATCATCTTAATCACGGTTTGGAAAACTTGATTTTCCTTGATTGATTTTCCACATAAAGCTCCCTGATGTATAATACAATGAATTGTTGGGCAAGTAACACCATTCTCTCGAAGCAGACCCACTAATCCAATTTTTTTACCTGTCATTTATGGGGCCTTGTCTGTTGCTATGGCTGAACATTTATCAAAGCCTCCAATTTTGTCAACTGTTTTCTTCACAGCCTCATAGATGTCTTTTCCTTTTGTTGTTCCATAAAGAGGACAAATATCAAATAACTCCTCTTTACTGGTAAAATCATCAAAAGTAGTGTGCACAAATATTAACAGCTATTAACATCGGTTTGGTCAGTGTTTTCATCCAAACAAAGTGATAAATATGAACTTTTCTTAATAGCAACAATCCTTCTTTGTATGGTTTGACGTGAAAGTGTCACTTATTCAAATTTCTCCGCCATTTTAGAATGACCGAAAGCTTTGGCCATTTCAACAGCACATTTTTTTATCAAATTGTCATCAGTGAAACGTTTTTTTGCCTTTGCCAGCTCAAGCGACACGGCATAAGATGCATGCAAAGAATGCGTTTGAGAGTGTAATATTTTACTGAACATACCAGTTTGCTGTTTAAGCTTTTTCTTCAAATCTGCAACTAGGGCACGCCGACTTTCATTTGTGTACGTAGCATACTTATTTTCTTGTACTGTTGTGTAATGTCTTCTCAAATTATATTCTTTAGGCACTGAAACGACATTCATGCACACTAAGCACTACAACTTTCCATTATTGTTAGCAATCAAGTAATCACTCTCCCAACTTTCTTTGTAAATTCTGTTCCCACTATCAATTTTCCGTTTTACTGGTTTTACACTCATTATTGTATAAGAGGAATCAAGACAAAGAATTAATCACGTTCACTGTTCACTAGCAACGTAATAGATTAGCCGACTAGCCTACGTGTCAGTAGCACAATGGCACGATGGCAGCTGGCGACGGATGGTAAGCAGTGGGAGGTATGGCCTGCGTGAACTGTGATGAGCAGTAATCAGTGCAGTTCTCATAGTGGCGGAGGACGATTATGTTCGTTACACGTCCGCGAAGCGGCATGCGGTACAGTAATTGTGATGTAAAAAGACTGCTAAACCATAAAATATAAAATAAATTAAAAAATCTTTTTTCACAGTTGCAGCATTTAAAGAAAATATATGCTTTTCGAAAATCTTACATGGGTCACAACAAATAGCCTCGCGGGCCGAATACGGGCCGCCAGTTGGACAACCCTGATCTAGCGGTTGAAGGTGATGTGAGGCGTGGGGTGGAAAAGTAACTAATACTATACCATTTTCACGTGCAAATATTATGGATTCAAGAGAACAATGAGTTTCGTGATTGTTCATTAATATTAAAATTATGGAATCAGAAGAAGACTGTGTATAACTTTTGATGTGCGTTTAAAGAACCTTGAGAAACAGTTCCTTGGTCATCCATCCAGAATTTGACGAATTAACCAAACCTAGGCTTCCTAATAGAGCTCCATTCAATATTGTATCATAAAAACGGGCTCTTGGAAATATGTACACCGGAGGCACAGCATTTCCTAATGCATTAATTATCCCACACATAGTGATCAGGGTGCCTCTCTCTGGTGAAACTATCTGCCCAACTTGTTTGATTCCCTCTTGCGTTACAATGTTTGGAGCTTGCAGGACAGTGCTGATACCAGTTTCGTCTAAGTTATAGATTCTATCAGGTGTGAAATCATGGGTTGAAAGAGCACGTTCATAATTGTTAAAAAATGTCACTACATTTTCTTTTGTAAAACTGGTAGCACGGCTAAGGCTAGTGTTTTCGGGTTTCCTAAAGTAGTAAAGCGTAATTTATTTTTGAAGATATTAATATATAACCAACTAATAGGTCTTCTTCAGTTTTGTTAAAAACTTAACCAGTAGAATACAAACTTGAATAATTCGACAGATATAAACTTATATCTGTTATAAACTACACCATTTTGTTCTACCCTTTCTCATTCCTGTTTCCTTTTTATTCAATAAAATATTGTCGTATGTTTAATTCCATAGGTTGTAGCAGTTGTGCGAAGTTTCATCCCACCCTCCACTACTTGTATGGAGTTTTGAATATCACTGCTGCGTTTTCTTTTCTATGTACGTACCATCTCAGATCCTAAAAATCCACATTTAACATCAATTTTAATTCTTCCTAATGAAACTTGGAGTAATGGGACGTCTTTAAACAAAGTTCAAAAGTGCCCCATTCCTGTTGTTCAAATGTGCTCCGCAACTACAGATTTTAAATTTAGGTAAGTTAAAAATTTGGGGTAAGAATTACGAGGTTAAATATCGCAATATAAAAATAACACATACCTTGGAAAACCCCTGCGAATTGGAGGCTAGCAGCAACACCACCCAGTTCCAAATATTTTGCTTGTATTATCCTTACAACCAAAATTCCATACAGATGCGTTTAATACCGAAAACCTTACTTTCGCTGTAACGTTTGTAAACACAACAACAATCGCTCATGCAACTTCACACTAGTAGTATAAATGTAGCCAACACCGTATAACATCGAAAGCGTGAAAAGTTTTACATATCTAGATTCACTAATTACCGCAGATAACAATGTCAGTGAAGAAGTTAAGAGAAGAATACATATCGCTAATAAAACATATAATGGGCTAATTAAACATCTCAGATCTAAGAACATCACAAGAAAAACCAAATGCAAAATATACAAGACCCTGATAAAACCGGTCCTTGTATATGGATCAGAGACATGGACACTGTCGAAAAGCGATGAGAACCTATTAGGTACATTTGAACGAAAAATCCTTAGACACATATATAAGTGGGTAAAGGAAAAGACATATGGCACAGAAGATATAACTTTGAACCATACACAGCATTCAATGAACCCGAGATCATAACATCCATAAAGATCGGACGTCTGCGCTGGATGGGCCATGTTGAACGGATGTTGGAGACTGAAACGCCAAAACATATAATGAGGCAAACACCAGTAGGGAGAAGGTCAAAGGGAAAACCCAAACTTAGATACATGGAACAAGTGGAACAAGATCTGAAAACACTTAAGATTACCAACTGGAAAAACAAAGCAAAGAACGGAACAGAATGGCGGAAAATTATAGAACAAGCCAGGACCCTGAAAGGGTTGTCGAGCTACTGATGATGATGAACACCGTATAAATAAAAATTACTAATATTGCGCTGCTTATAAGACAGAAATTTGATATGTTCAAATTCATCCCACGTTTAAAAGTGCCCCCTCCCCCCTAGTTTATACAATAATTAAATTTATTATCAAATGATATTAATTTATATTTTACTAGTGATTTGGCCGGTCAACATGTGACGGGGGATCTAATTATTTGCCATCTACAACAGTCACTCACACAACCTAAAAGTGACGACATATTTCTATTATCTCAAATTAAACTTATCAAGAATATATAATTTTTTATACTTATATATTTTTTATTTTGGAATCCTATACTGCTATTATTTAATCAGTAGTACCAATATCTCTGGCAAAACGTTAATTAATTAATTTTTTTGTCAAGATTATGAAAATAGTGAATGCCTAGATTAAGTGAAAAAAAAGAGGTAAAATACCTACTTTTATAATCTTATTAACCACTATTTACAATATATTCTCAGAATAGAAATTACTATCTTTTACTTAATCAAAACCTCTTAAAAAGTCTTTATCATTACTAAAATTAGAATGGTCGATTCTGCCTCATATATACTCTCATGATAGTCTCACACTAACTTTATAAACGTTAAACATCGCACTCTTTGATTTCATTAAATCTTCTAATACCGGATCCATGTCTCTCACCCACAATGAGAGCCACCCACAATGATTTCGCGATAACCTACAACATAATAACAAACTACAATAAACACAATTTATCTTTCAGATAATTCTTATTTAGTACTTTATTTGGCAATAACATTTTATCTGTTAGATCAGTTTATTCATGTCAGTTGGTAGTTCAGATTTCTTTCTAAGGGGCAGTAGGTGTTTAAATCTTAACTAATATAAAGCTTTAAATTATTTTGTTTATTAAAAATATTATCTTAAAATTACAACAACCAATATTTTTGTCAATTTTACGAAAAAAATAATCGGAGTAATAATTATATTAATATGTAATTAATATTATTAGTGGTATTGGACTGTGCGAAACTCGCTTAGCAGGAAAAGCATGTACCATCTTAAAATCTGGTCACCAGCTATACCAGAAAAACTCCGTAGACAATCATCACATAGGCGGTGTAGCGTCCGAGACAGAAAGGAAATAAGCGAGGCCATTTAAAAATTCTACACTAAATTATACTCGGTAAATACACAACCACAACAACGACGTACTGAACGAACAATAATTAACACCGGCTCAGAAGAAATACCGAATATAACCGACTATGAAATAAGAATGGCCCTAAATCAACTAAAAACGAATAAATGTCCGGGAGAGGATAAAATTACAGTTGAAATGTTGAATATTAGTTGCAGAAAAATGGAACAGGTATTAAATATTTTATTTAATAAAGTAATTGTAAAGTAACAGTACCACTCCGAAGTCATTTTACTATCCAAGAAAGGAGACAAAGCAAACATCGAGAATTACCTACCCATATCCTTGCTATCACATTTGTATAAATTACTAACTAAAATCATAACGAACCGCCTAACACATAAGTTGATTTCTATCAACCTAGCGAGCAGGCTGGATTCAGAAAACATTTTAGTATTATAGACCACTTGCACACTGTAAAAATAGATTCGATTCCATCGAATTATGGGCAGTGCTTGAATCTCTAGAAAATGCACGTATAGATTCAAGATACACTAACATAATTAAAAACATATATGAAAATGCCCCCATCAAGATAAAGGTGGAATAAAGTACAAAAACTAATCCCATAAGACTACAATGGGGAGTAAGACAATGAGACACCATCTCTCCCAAACTATTTACCCTTGCTCTAGAAGACATTTTTAAGAAACTAGAATGGAACAATAAGGGTATCAACCTCGACGGATCATACTTAAACCACTTGAGATTCGCAGATGACATAGTTTAATTAGCCGATAATATCCAAGAAATAAATGATATGTTGCAACAATTAAATGCAGTTTCAGGAGCGTTAAGCTTAAAAATGAACTACAGCAAAACAAAAATACTGAGCCAAGACCAGACAAATATAACAATACAAAATCATAGCATAGAAAATTTTGAACTTTATCTATATCTAGGTCATGTTATCAAACTATGGAAACCAAATCAAGATGCTGATTTTAAAAGAAGAACACAACTGACATGGGGCGCTTTCGGCAAACTAGCATATATCTTGAAAAACACCTCCATTCCTGTAAACTTAAAGAAAAAGGTGTATAATACATGCATACTACCAGTTTGTACCTACGGCTTGGAGACAGTAGCCCTTACCAAAAAATCTGTTAAAAAATTAGAAACAACACAAAGAGCAATGGAACGAATCATGCTTGGAATATCACTGAGAGACAAGATTAGAAACACCGAGATAAGATGTAGAACGAAGATTAGGGCTATTGTGGAAAAAATTACAAAAATGAAATGGCGCTGGGCAGGTCACGTAGCCCGATATAATGACAACAGGTGGACACGAAGAATTCTAGAATGGAGACCGAGGACGACAACAAGAAGCATGGGAAGACCTCAAAAAAGATGGGT